GCTCACACACCAGAGGACCACCAGAATCACCCTGTGGAAAACACATTTGAGATTGAACAGCAGCAACATTGAGATGTTAAGTTTTTTATTCTTGATCTGTCGTCATATACCTGGCAAGATGAGGAACCAGAGGCTCCAGCACAGATCATGGCATCAGTGATAGTGCTCTGACCCCAGATCTGCCTGCACACAGCAGGACTTATGATGGGTACACCTGTTTGCTGTAGGATCAGAGGGCTCGCTAAAAAAGGAGAAAACATGACACACTGCATTGCACAGTAAACAGATGTGTTGTAATTCTCTCAGTATGTTTTTGTTTTACAGATGACTTACACGTGGTGGCAGTTCTACCCCAGCCAGTGGTGAAGCAGCGGGTTCCAGGCAGGATGTTGATGGTTGATGGAGCCAGACATACAGGAGAGATACGGGGAGTCAGTGTGACTGGAGACGACAGTTTCAGCAGAGCAATGTCATTGTTGAAGGTCGCCCTGCTGTAGAGCGGATGGGTGATGACCTGCACATAAAGGAAAGAGGGATGAACAGTTAGTAGTGAAAGCTGATTAAATAGAACGTAAACAAAGATTAAACAAAACAAAGCATTTTCTTATACGTTTTCTTTCCTGTACTGAATTTTATATTTGTAAAAAATGTGTACGTTTATTTTGGTGGGTTTTAGGAATATAACAGCCTACATTATATACCTCAAAACTTTGATTATAAAGAGATATGTTGACTGATTTTGTTTGACCAATTTGCACACTTTTCAACTTCATTGAACTTTTTCAATTCTGCAATATTGTGTTCACCGATCAAAAAAAAACACACCAGTTTAACCTTTTAAATGATGGCCATTCAATCACAATTAGAAATATGTGAGTTAAATTAAACAAAGTCCAAAACAGAGATTAAAATAAATGTGCAAACTTTTAGATTACACCCTTGCATAAATTACAGATATTACTACTACAAAAAAATGTATAATGAATATGTTTTTTGGAGTTGTAATGATGACTTGGTTATTAATGTGTTTAAAAAACTTCTATCTGTATTCTGTATGTAATTGACATTGGCTAAAAGCAATGTCGATTGGTCTCTTTTTTCAATTTTCAATGTCTCTGATCCACTGAGATCATAAAACATTGTTACCTTGGAAACTAATTTGACCTGGATGGGTTCAACACTGGAGCCATGATTATGCTCTCCAAAAATGACACGGTGATAGCCGACCCTAAAAAGAGAAAGATAAAGACAAAACTAACTGTAAAAAGACAGACAGAAAGCTGAAAGAGCATCTATTAACCACTACTGAATGTGATGTTTGTCAGATTGAATACTCTTACACGACAGCGCAGTGGGCAGCAGTGAGAACCCAGTTCTGGTTGATCAGGGATCCTCCACAGAAGTGGAAACCACTGGGCAGCTGTTTCAAAGGTAAAAACATTGAAAACATGACATTTACTCTTTAAGCAAAGCAGACAAATGTGTGTTTGAAAAACAGATGAGTTACCTGAAGAGAGACCTGCCAGGGCCAAGAACCAGAGATGGCATTCTGTCCGTTCACAATCTTGCTGCCGATCGTCTGTGGCTTAATCGCAGGCACTCCACAACCTGTTATTACAGAACGTAACACATTGTTCATGAGACAAGAATGAGACAGGAAGCTCTTAAGGCAGGTTTTCCATTTTCTATATTTGCCCATCATTATTCTTGCAAACTTCTAAAGAAGACACTTACCCAGAGCAGAGGCCACCAGAGCAAAGCAGGTGATGGAGAAGATGGTGAAGGTCATGATGTGTGATGGACTGTATCTCACTGATGGATCTGTAGGTCGTCTCTCTTGCTTTTATATCATTTACAGCAGCTGAAAAATCTGAGACGTGATGGAGGTCCATCCCATCAGCTCCAATGAGCTCATAGCTGAGGAATGTTTAGATCTGTTGTCGCTGGAGACAATCTGCATCTCCACTGTCCAGAGCTGGTCTCTTACGTGCAAAGAGGATGCATTCTCAATTGTTTGACCTCAAGAAGGGGTTTAAGACTTCTTTCTATTTCCTTGAGAAGCATCATAATTCACTTCTCTCAATGAATGTTATGAAGTGTTTTGGATTAGAAGTTGTTTTTGTTGTTACCGTGTTGAAATTTAATTCAATTAATCATGCAAAATGCTTCCTTAAGTGTTTCCGCTATACTTGCAGTAAAAGAGCTGCTTTACCAATAAGTCTGTGACGTTAACTAATCCTGTATTCAACCTTGGCAAGCTGTTCAAGACAGTGATACTGAAGAGGAAGGGACTAAAGTTGTGGGATTATGTCACACTATGAGTATATCAGTTGAGATCTGGGCTAAAGTAAAACTTAGTACTATCAGTTTCTTTAACACCACTTTAGTTAACAAAATGAATGACAATAAACTGGTCAAACAAGTTCTTTAAATACATTGCAGCCAAGAGAGAGAGAGAGAGAGAGAGAGAGAGAGAGAGCGCGAGAGAGAGAGAGCGAGAGAGAGAGACATGCAATGGTGTGCTTTTCTGTGACATCACTTTTTATTTTTTACATTATTTTATAGAAAGCATTATAAAGTAAACTGATTTTCTTTAATGATACAAATAAAAGTAATGCTTGTTACTTACTACTGACCCAGTACTGACACATTTTATTTATTAGGTGGTTGGTTTTGTTTATTAATTTGTTTCTTTGTTTGTAATCAAAAATAAAGTACACATGTTATATATGTGTGTCGAAGATAAGGCTTTATTTTTAACAAAAGCTTGGTGTTCAGTTTAATAAGATTTACATTTTTTTTTAGCTAGCTTTATTTTACTTGAATCATGTTTACATGGTATGTCTATAATTTAAAGTAACGAGTATGCCTTGTCCAAATACCCACACTTGCGGTCTTTGCACTTGATCCCTTGACTACTTATATGACGTATTTCCTGTATCTGGCCCAAGTGTTCAAGTGAGGATGAAGACCACAAGTGTGTGTACAACTTTTCATTACCTGATGGGACACACTTATAGTGTTGTAAAAACGCAAGTGTTTACAGAGTTTTAATTTTTATTTTCAATACTTTGCATTTTAAAATAAACTTCTAAATGTCTGTTCAGTAGTCCCTATAACAGAGATGACACAATTTAATTTCTGGTGCTTCTAATTAAGTGATAAAAAGCAGTTGCAAATGATGTACAAAATAAATATACTCACCTTTGCACCAATAAAACATGTAGCATTTTGTTTTTCCTACCAAATTATATGTAATATATAATTATTATATTAATATACTGAACACAATTATAAACACAACACTTTTGTTTTTGCCCCCTGAGCGGTAAAACCGGGAACTGAACTAAGTTAGTCAAAATGGTGCTTGAGGACGTGGACAGTGTTGCCAAACCCCTCCCTCAGAAAATCTCTAGAACCACCCTCAAAAGATTTTTCTCCATTTTTCACAAAAAGTCGCCAAATATGAAAAAAGTAAATACAGGTAAATTTGGTAAAGGAAAGTAAATTTTATATATATATATATATATATATATATATATACACACACACACACACTTTACAAATGATAACAGTATAAAACAATATAACAAAAGATTAAATATAACAAAAAATTCTGAAGTGAATACAACAGATCAGAGATATTATGATTCTCCAAAAACAAAAACTTCATACAAACTTATTTCAGTCAACACACTCTATTACTACAAAGTAGTAAGTCGTGGGGGAAGTCGTGGCCTAATGGTTAGAGTCGGACTCGTAACCCAAAGGTTGCGGGTTCGAGTTTTGTACAGGCAGGGATTGTAGGTGGGGGGAGTGAATGTACAGCACTCTCTCCCACCTTCAATACCACAACTGAGGAGCCTTTGAGCAAGGCACCGAACCCCTAACTGCTCCCCAGGCGCCGCAACATAATTCCTAGTATGGGTCACCATACTTGGCCACGTCACGCCACTTTCACTTTAAGTAAGTGCAAAATACTGCATCCCAGCAGTAAAAAAAAAATAAATAAAAAGCAGCTACAATGAGAAAGTAGCAAAATTTGGCGACAAAATCCCCAAATTGGCAACACTGGACGTGGATAAAAACGATATATCAAAGAAGGTAAAATCCTGTCAGTTCGCTACACAGTTTAATCTTGACTTTCAGTGTTTATTACTGTGTGTATATTGGCGTGATAGTTTGGTCATAATAGTTTAACTAGTCATTGCTAGTTAATCAACTAGTCATTAAGTCAGTGGGTGAAAAACGAACAAAATCTATACTTAAACAAGCTTTTCAAAATAATTTGTTTTAACTGTATAATCTGTATAAGTATGGAGTTGCTTTGCTTTTTTTCTGAACTGGTGTAATACATTTTAATCTTTTATTAGGCTATCTGTTGCCTGTGTTGTTACTGTTATAGTTTAACTAGTTTAACTAGTCATTACTAGTTAATCAACTAGTCATTAAGTCAGTGGGTGAAAAACATGAACAAAATCTATTCTTAAACAAGCTTTTCAAAATAATTTGTTTTAACTGTATAATCTGTATAAGTATGGAGTTGCTTTGCTTTTTTTCTGAACTGGTGTAATACATTTTAATCTTTTATTAGGCTATCTGTTGCCTGTGTTGTTACTGTTGTCATATTGTGTGTGTGTGGTAGTACAGAGAGCAAATACTCCTATATTCTTGACTACGCCACTCCAATTTTATTTGGGTAGGAGATCCCAGGTCATATAAGGGGTTTTCCCGCACGGCTACTCAAATAAAAGAATATCCTTAAGACAGAATTACTATAGATGCAGTTTCGATTTTATTAATCAAGTAGTTTCACTTCCAAGCTGGCTAAGTTTACTCATGCAAGATGGAGACACAAATAACGGCAGAGGATAATATCACTCTCAAAGAAAATAAAAGTGAAATTAACACCAAAATAATTGATTAAGACAATAAACCCAAAAAAAAACTAACGTAAATTCTCATACATAGCACCTCAAAGCATGAAATACAAAAAAACCACAGCACACATGTGAATGATGGTGAATATACTTCCTCCCTATATAGTTACAATGAGTAAGCTGCCAGTACTGGCCTCATTGGCATGTAAAATAAACGGACCAAACGATAACCGATAGTCATGGGCCAAAAAGTAAAAGGAAACAAAATAAACAATTCACAGAAACAAAGAAAATACAATTTCAAGGCAGGGAAAACAGTGATCAATTGAGCTGGACCAAAACAACTCTAAAAAGAGAAAACATTAAACAAAACACAATTTGTTAACCCATGTTATGCAGTCCAACCTTCTCACTCAGAACAGCTCATTTAAAATTACACAATATAAACAGAAAAACAAACATTACAATTTCAAAAAGAAACCACTATCTATAAATTTATTAGTCAACAATATTAAAATGCTAGGTATACTAGCCTCACAATAACATTTAAAATAAATACCTTTGAGACTTTAGCTGATCACACACCATTAAAGGGCTACAATCGTCACCATATACTTCCTAGAAAAGAAATGACTCTTTTAACACTCTTGTATAAAAGGGTGTCAGCTTAGTGTGTACACAGGTATACTGTTCATCGTTTTATACCATAAAACGCCCTACCATAGATCGTCAATGCTCCCGTGTAGTATGCTATGCTGCTCGTTCAGCGTCTGATACTCCTCCAGCCCAAGATAACCAACATGAGAGTTTAAGACATCTAAAAATCACTAAAAGAGCAATTACATGATTACACACCATTAACATCTCATACCGTTTACACGATCGTAAAACACTGGCTTTTGACCAGCGACGCATAAGCCAGCACTAATTTAAATACCTCACAAATCGAATCATACAAATAACCAACAAATTAAACGTTAACACTCTTCAAAACGGATAACATTCAATAAAAAAAAAAGACCTACCAGAGATTGTTCTTCCAGCGACAGACAACCACCTGCGCGCCAAACAATTGAAACGCAACTCATCTACTGATCGGAAGTGCGTATTTAAAGGGAAATCCTGCATGCCATCATAGGTACAACAGCACCTCCTAGTGGCTTGGCTACATACACCCCTGCTTTTTTTAATGATCACCGTCCCGGTGAGCAACCTAATGTAGCTCACTACTGCCAAGGTCTAAAAAGGGTAGTAATGCCACTAACCTCCGCTATACTAATAGACCCATTTTGTGCTATGGACTGAGGAAGGTGAAAAAGATTTGGGTGTTGGCCTGCTGTCCTACGAGTAGAACGCCTAAGAGGGGGAGTAGCCACTTCTGACTGGCCAACTGGCTGGTCTAAGAGAGGCTCTATATTAGTAACCAACCCCAACTCCTGTTCTTGTGTCGACCCTTGGGATTGCCCACCCGTGGGCTCTCTCATATGGCTCATGGGAGGACAATTGCTTGTTATCCCCACCAAACTAACCCCATGGCTGGTAACTCCAGGACTAGAATCATCTTGGGCACCTACCCCGGTATGAACCACAACTACTTGTGGCTGGATTCCCACTTCTGAATCCTCAGACCTCAGTTCCCTACCCGGTTTAAGAGACATACCTGAATCACTTCTAATGGGTTGACCAAGACTATCTGTACCCTGGGGAGCCAACTTAAGGTGCGAACGATGAACAACCTTAATAGGGCCATCTTTTCCCTGGGGTCTTATCTTATACAACGTCCCCACTTGATTGGTACATGTCACAACTTCAAACAACATAGAACCCCAAACATCCTGGATTTTGTGGCGGCCATGAAAATGGTTTCTACAATATACTAACGTGCCAGAGGACAGTATAGGAGTTACCTCAGAGAAACCAACCCTACGGTGCTCTGCCACACTCTCCAAGTGTTTTCGAGCACTAGTATAAACAGAAGTCAAGTGCTCTTGATGCTGAGCCACCCAATCTGATGGGGTACATTCCCCTATTTCAACAACTACCAAGCAGATGGTCAACCGGCAATTTGGGCTTCTGACCAAACATCAGCTCATAAGGGGAATGCTGAGTCGACTGGTGTACCGCTGTATTGTATGCAAAGAGCAGCTGTGGCAGCAATTGCGGCCACTTTCGTTTCTGCTCGGGTGGCAATGTGCGAAGCAAATCATGTAATGTCCGGTTAAATCTTTCACATTGACCGTTACCCTCAGGATGGTATGGGGTTGTTCTACTTTTAGCAATACCATACAATTCACACAAACGCCTCAGCAATTCCCCCTCAAAGCTACGTCCCTGGTCAGAGTGAATCCTATTTGGCACCCCATAAATATAGAACCACTTCTCGGTCAGAATCTTAGCCACTGTGTTTGCCCTTTGATCAGGTGTAGGATAAGCTTGTGTAAATTTGGAGAAAACGTCTGTCACAACCAAAACATTTTCCTGCCCATTACTAGCTTTATCCAAAACAGTGAAATCAATTGCAATGATTTCTAAAGGTTTACTAGCTAATAAACTCCCCAAAAATGTCCTCAACTTAGGTTGCGATGCCTTGGCGACAATACAGCGTTCACACTCGGTACACCATTTTTTTATATCTTGCCACATATTAGGCCAATAACACCTTTGGCGAACAAGATCTGTGGTACGCTCCACACCTTGGTGACCGTGGTTATCATGGAGGCTTGTAAGCACCTCAACCTGAAGGCCCTTAGGCAGCAACAATTGCCACACCAACTCTCTAGAAGGAGGTATTTGCACGGTCCTATACAGAACTCCATCCACCTCCCGTACTCGGGGCCACTGTTTTACCAACTGTTGAACTTCTCTTGACATGTTCTTCAATTCAGCAACTGTTGGTTGCTGCCCCTGCACCCAAAATGGTTGGAAGGCCTGGATACATGGGTCCGCGGCCTGCAAAGCTCTCAAGTCTGCCTTACTACGAACCGGAACAGCGTCCACTGTTAACGATTCCACCACCTGGGGGCCCAACCCAGGTGGTTTCTCCAGCACTGCAATTAACTGAGGAACCGTAATACCTGATAATACAACTGCAGATTGATCAGAATGCGAAGGGAGCCTAGAAAGTGCATCTGCATTTAGATTTGCAGCACCTGGTCGATACCTAATCTCATAGTTAAATAAAGCCAGTTGGGAAACCCAACGCTGTTCAACTGCCCCCAAATTCGCCGACTCAAGATAGCGCAGTGGATTGTTATCAGTATAAACAGTGACCTTATTACCAAGAAGATATTCTCTAAACTTCTCTGTCATTGCCCATTTCAGGGTCAAAAGCTCCAGCTTCATTGCACTATAATTAGTCATGTTCCTCTCACTTAGTCGAAGCCCGCGACTAGCGAAAGCAATTGGTCTCCGCAGCCCCCCATGTTCTTGTGATAACACTGCCCCCAAACCTAAATGGCTCGCATCAGTCTCTAAAATAAAAGTACGCAAAAAGTCTGCATACCCTAAAACAGGAGCCTGAATGAGCCGCTCTTTTAAGTCATTAAATGCTGTCTCACAGCTATCATCCCAATGTTGTTCAAAAGAACCCTGCTTAGTGGTTGCACACCGCTTCCGAGTGCCCTGTAAAGTCCCAACTAATTTATGCAGGGGGGCTGCTAGTCTAGCAAAACCCTCAACAAACCGACGATAGTATGATGCAAAACCAAGAAATGACCGCAGCTCTCTAACAGAGTTAGGCCTGCCCCATTCAGCAACAACACGGATCTTTTCTGGGTCAGTTGCCACCCCGGCCGCTGATATCACATGGCCCAGGTATGTCACCTCTGTTTGGAAAAAGTGACATTTCTTCAGTTTTACTTTCAAGTTGTGGGTTTTGAGCCGACTCAGCACCATCTCTAACCGCTCAAGATGTTGGCCAAAAGTACTGGAAAAGATTACAATATCATCCAGATATAACAATAGAGCATGAAGACTCTGATCACCAAAAATACGTTCCATGAGACGCTGGAAAGTACTTGGCGCATTGCACAACCCAAAGGGCATACGGTTGAACTCAAATAGCCCAAAGGGTGTGCAAAAAGCCATCTTTTCCCTATCTTGAGGGGCTGCCGAAACCTGATTATAGCCGCTTGCCAGATCCAGTGTGCTAAACCATTTGGCCCCACCAAGCGCGTCCAAGGTCTCCTCTATTCGTGGCAAGGGAAAAGCATCCTTGCGAGTTTTGGCGTTAAGTTGCCGATAATCTACACATAACCGAATAGAACCATCCTTTTTTTGAACCACCACGATGGGTGCGGCATATGGGCTACAACTGGGTTCAACAATACCCTGTTCAACCAATTCTCGAATATGAGTCTTAACCAGATCATACTGAGAAGGGGGCAGGCGACGGTACCGCTGACGTACTGGTACATCGTCTACTAATGGAGTAGTATGCTGGAGTAAATCAGTACAGCCCAGGTCTCCATCAACATGACTAAATACACTAGCATATTTCTGAAGTAATGTCTGGGCTTGTTGATGTTCCTGACTCGATAAGGTAGGCCACATACGCTGAGAGGAATCAAACTGGGGACTACTCTCCACCCCAACTGCTTGTATCAGCGCTACAGTCTCAGACTCCTCATTCTGTACATTAAACTGAACGGAAGATGTTACAACAGGTGACTGAACAATATGCAACTCTCCCAGTACTGTTTTTGGCCAAAGCCAACGATCTTGACTCCCCACATTAATAACTGGCACCTTCACCACCCCACAGTTAACTGACAAACAGGCAGATGGAACTAAAAGGTCCCCAGGCAACTGGCCTTCCACGAATGATACTGGTTCCAAAAAACAAGCATTAAACGTAGTCCCCAGCCCCTGATGGCAAGTGGCTGGAACAAACTTCATGGTACCTGCTGGCACTCGCACCGCCGGACCCCTCTGAACCTGAGCTGCACCTACATACCCAGTTTCTAGAGTACGTTCCCAGAGTTGGCACTCAGAAAAAGTTCTCTGCCAAACTTTCCCTGCATGTTGAATAGAAGGAGAATCAAATAACCTAGCCCCATGCTCCAAAAACAATTCTTGGTAACAACTACTAATAACATTCATTCCCAACAATCCAGGCACCTGTTCTCGCCTCAACTGGATCGCAGGATCAGAAGAGTTTTTCAATACTAGAATGCCCATCTTGGGCAAAGTCTTACCAAGTATGCCTATGTTCGTCTCTAAATACCCCAAGTAAGGAATATCAAGGCCATTGGCTGCTTTAAGCTTAAGCCACTGACATGGTTGCAACTGAAACTGGAATTGGGGTTGCAAATATTGCTCATAAAATTGTTGGGTAACCGTAGTCACCATAGATCCTGTGTCCAGCAAGCATGCCACAGTCACCCCACCAATAGTAATCTCTACTGTTGGACATTTACCTAGAAGTCGAAGCTCATCAACAAAGGGGTTGCCCAAAAGTTCCCCACCCGGCACATGGGCAGTGCTGCCGGGGGGCACTAGTTTTCCGATGACTGAGTAGAGGACCTAGGCCCTGCAACTACCCTCAATGTCGTACCCAATTCAGTTTTACAAAATCTTGCAATATGACCAGGTCGATTACAACGCAAGCATATAGGTCTACCATCTGGATGATAGCGATAGTGTTGGCTACGAATCCCAACCCTTGGAACAGAAGGAGCTGCTGCCAAGAAAGATCCTGAAACAGCTTGAAGGACAGAGGTCCCGAAATGCTTAA